ATTTCCATTCCCTTATCCTTCATAAAATCAATAATGTCTTGTTTTTTTGTGCCTGTATTCGGAATTTTGTTTTCTGTCGGGAATGGTATGGCGCATTGTCCATAATAATCACTGAATTTGGGGAAATGTTTGGTATTCACTGCTGCTCTATCCACTTTTCAAATAAGTCGGAGGTCATGTCCTCATGATAGTCGGCACATGATTCTTTGATATTTTTGGCAGATAACAGCAAGGCATTAGGTATAAATCCATTTTCACTGCCAGCATGGAGAATAATGATTCGTTTTCCACGGTTGCATGGTGCATTTAAAATGCACTTGTTGCTGTCGTCAACCCAGCCGTACTGCACAACATCATGGGTATCATACCACGTTTCATCCAGGTAAATCAGATTTCTTTTCTGCTCTCTATAGATTTTAACTTTGTGCAAAAATTCTTGGCGCAATTGAACGATTCGAGACGACTCCATAATCACCATTCTTTTATCTAATTTTTTGTATTGAAAACCACACAGTTTTACAATACAGTGCAGTGAGTCTAAGCATTTGTAATTATAAAAATCTTCAGGATAATCTTTTAATTTATCCCGTATCATTTCCAACGTGGGCACCAAATTTTCTTTATAAAATCCGTATATTATACGACGAATATCTTCCTGAAAACCCACGTCTATTCTTTTTAATTTTTGCCCTATGCGCTTTCTGTGGAAGGAATGGTTGACTACATCTCCCCTTTTTATAACCCGATAAATGGCAGACCGACTGATTTTTGTCAGGATACAAATTCTGTTTAAAATTTGATTTTGCGAGGAATTTGGATTTTCGTTTTTCAGACAATCATACATATTTAGGATTACTCTTTGGGTCTGTTCCTCTAAATCTTTATGAAAGAATTCTGCCTGCACAGGTTCATCAACCATCTCCTCGTGGCTTGGAGCATTTTCCCAAGGTCTCCAAAGAGCCATATTTAGGACACACAAGAACAATCAACACAACAATTAAATCAACAAGTAAACCGAGTATTCAAAAGTCAAAAACTCACAAACTAATAAAATCTATGAAAAAACACGGACAGACTAAAGAAAACACGTTTATTCACCGCTACACGGCACTGGCTAAACTGTTTCAATTTTCAGTAGCCACCTGCACTTGTTCCGAGCTCTGAAATATACGCTTTCTCATTGGCTGTGTCCACGCATAGGCGTGCTTTACTCCACGTGGACCGGTGAAACTGCCTTTGATCTCTTATACGGGGGATATTTGCTGCGAAATTTGGCGATTTTTGCAGCAATAGAGCGTGTTAAATATAGATATATAAAACGCACCCGGTATTTCACAGTGTTTCAAGTGACTTCAGATAAAGTATACCTATTGCTAAGACGACCTTTCTAGATCATTCATGATCTCTTAAAAATATGCAGACGAAACAGTTACAGGCTCCAGAGCTTTGACAGTATATAAATAAGTTAATCTTTGGTGGACCTCCTCAAAATCTTTATAAAAGACTACAAATTCGGAGAGCAGGTATTGAAAATGCAGACCATGCAGTTTAGGTCACCTATTCATCTTCTCTTTGATAGTATAACTGATAAAACTTATTATTGAACGTATATAAACTATGTCAACTTCTGAATAAGCAGTATTACTTACATTTGTTCAATTTATAGCTAAAAATAAATCGTTTAAATCAAGGGTATCCGTATACTTTCTTGTTTGAATTTGAGTAACTAGGGAAAATATACATACAAATCTGCATTATACTACAAAAATCATTTTTCTATCAATTCTATCATAACAAGCATCTGTATTTCTGTCTATTGTATATCCGTTGTTTGACTCGAATCAGATGTTACTTCTAAATATATACGCACTTAAATGCACAAAAATAGTTCATATACGGTCGAAAGCACAAATTACAAGAGCTGAATTTTTACACGTTTTGAGTTAAGACATTTTAGAACTTTTTGTAAGGTTTGTATCATGTATACAACTTTCGATGTTTACAATGAGTTAGTTTCCTATTTAAACACACTTAAAATGATAGTCCTATGAAGAGCAGCACTGAATAAATGTTTGAATATCTTAAAAAGTGACAAAGCTACGCTACCCAGAAGTTTCTTATTTGAAGAATTATCTTGTTGGAGCGTGAGACTGATGATTGGTGACGTCACATGACACCTGCTATCATCGCTACCAGAAAGCGATGTGCTCGACGCGCATGCTTGGCGCCATTTTCACGGTAAAAATAGATAAAAAATGAACAAACCATCTACTTACATTACTGTATTGTACTTAGGTGACAAATACATGCATATCAGATCTAGAAAAACATGCTGACCTGTGCCAAAACATAGAAGAATTAGAAGGAAGTGGTGCAGGGTAATAGGGACTATAAAATTGACTCATTCGGAAATATCATTCATTATCCTGCTGTAAATAGCATTTTGATGTTGGTAGATATTTAGTTAATATCGTAGAAAGGTTCATAATAGATATTAGCGTATGTGCCTATTATGATGAACCTAATTAGTGAAAACGAGAACGGGGATAGATTTGATTATTGCTTTTATTTCGAGATAATGTAAATATTATCATGTTATGGCTGGAGGGGTAACACTCTTTGAACCTTTTCTGTCAACATGAGATGCTTAGAAGGAACCAAAAAACCTGACCAACAGTGAAAAAAAATTGTATAATTGAAATTGAAATTCTTTATTCATGTCACAATACATAAAATATGTTTACATACGTCAATAGATCAAATGAGAATTGCATTGCTACAATTAAAACAAAGGGAGTGCTAATGATCATATAAAATTACAAACAAGTACACCAGCACTCTTAAAGATATAACGCTAACATAACATATTAAGATTTATAGTTAAAATTTATGTCTTAAACACTTTTCGAACGTGTAAAATGAGTTATTATAAAGAATTTTCTTGATTTGAACTTTAAAATCTTTAAACGGAAGCGATTTTAAGCCGTCTGGAAGTACATTAAAAAATTTGACCGTCCAATAACCAGGTCCATCTTGACACCTTCTCAGTCGCCAATAAGGAGGTACTAGATTGTTCTTATGCCTAGTATTGTGCTCATGGACGTCCCCATGAGTTACATAGTTAGAGTTTCTTTTAACGAATAGTAGATTTTCAAAAATATATAAACAAAGCACAGTCAGGATTCCCAACTTGACAAAGGTATCTCTGCAATCGTCCCTGTAGCTCACAACCCTAACTGCTCTTCTTTGCAAGGCGAACAGTCTATGGCAAAGTAAGCCATTCTCAATATGGCTACAGAAACACAAGAAGACAGACTCCGTAACACATATATACCTTTGGTGGCCTTTCCAGCAACACTGTCAATGTGAAGGCCCCATTGCAATCTTGGATCCAAAGTGACCCCCAGAAAATTGGCTTCACCAACCAAATCACTGTCTCCAGGCAGGCTTCGCATGGAGAACACCATTCTCTTTGTCTTATCTATATTTAGCATCAGCTTTTTGGAGCAAAACCACAGCTAAGTCTCATCCTGCGCAGCCAGAGACTGTGCCAATGAGCCCTCAAAACTGTTAGCGGTATGAGAGACGGTCGTATCATCCGCGAAGAGAGTAAAGTTTGCCATATTGTTATTGAGACGTAAATCATTTATGTAAATTAAAAAAAGAATTGGGACACGTATTAAAATAGTTAGCTGCATTGAGATGTTTCGAAATGCATTGAGGAGTGGAAGATATGTATAGTTTATTATCATATCGCATTGTATTAGTTGCCAATCGATACTTGACTATACGCCAAGAGTATGATTGACATTTTTTTCCCTAATTAGTGAATTCAAAGAGAGTTCAAAAGTTTTATTTTAAAGGGTAGCATGTTTATCAGACACCCATTTAGGAAACACGAGGTCTGTAAATTAAGTAATGAGACGTAGCGTTCGATCTGGCAACACTGGAGGCACGGGGCTTGGAGGGGAGACAGAGAAACATGTGATCCGCCTGTAGTACAAGTTTAAACTCGCTCGAGTTATTTGGTTGTACGATTTTTTCTGTGAAATAGTTCTTTCTTGTGTTCTAAAACTGATTGACATCAATTTCGAACAACTGTATGTTATCAGGTTATGCTTCAGACTTGGCCGAAAACTCTTGCTAAACTTCAGCAGGCCTACGGGGATACTGTTTTTCAAGAGCCCAGGTTTTTCGGTGATTTAAGGCATTTTCGGAAGGGAGAGAGTCGATTGAAGATGAACCACGAAGCGAAGGCCTTTATCTTCAAGAACCGATGGAAATATCGACAGAATCCGGGATCTTATGCATTCAGATCGTTGGTCAGAATCATCGGGGAAGAGTTAAATTTGACTCACACCACCGTCCATCAGATCAAGAACAAATGGATGTACATTCACGATAATGCTCCTTGTCACACAGCAATGTCAATAAACGAGTTTTTGGGCCAGTAAAAACATTCCTGTGGCTCCTCAGCCTCCTTATTCGCCTGGCTTAAGTCCGTGTGACTTTTTTCTCTTCCCGAAGTTGCAAAACCACCTCAATGGAACTCATTTTGAGACCGTCGAAAACATTTAAACGGCTGTAGCCAACCAGCTGAAGGCTATTCCAGCGTCGGAGTTCCATCACTGCTATGAGGAATGGAAGGACCGACTCCAGCGCTGTGCGGCTTCAGAAAGAAGTTATTATGAGGTTGACAGTATAAAATTATACCTATATTTGAATAAAAAAATTAAAAAAAAACAAACTTCATTTACAGACCTCGTATGTCAATTTTGGCTTCAGTTGACCGCAAGTCTGGCAGTTATGCGACATTATACGAGGGATGTCTTTTAAGTTTTGCAAATGGAAATAAAACAACACGGTAGGTAGTTTTAAATGACTTTATTGTTTTTCGAAGTATTCTCCATGAAGATTAATACGCATCTGCATGCGCTCGAACCAATTTTCGAAGCACTTATTCCACTCGTTTGCTGGCAGATCCGAAACGGCATTTTTTAATGCGTCAACTGCTTCTTCTGGTGACTGGAACCTTTGATCACGCAGTCTGTTCTTAATTTTCGGGAAAGTAAAGAAATCGTTAGGATTTAGATCGGGACTATATGGAGGATGGTCCAATAATTCCACGTTTTCTTCCGTTAAATACTGCCTTGTTTTTTGGGCTGTGTGCGAGCTTGCATTGTCTTGGTGGAGGACGATTCTTCTTTCGGGGTTAATTTTTCGAAACTCGGTGATGACTTTTGGCAAACAAATGGTGGTATACCAATCCGCAGTAACAGTTCTTTACTCATTAAGAGGAATTGTTGCAATATGACCCGCTTTTGACACATCCTGTTTCGATATAAAAAAAAATGTTCAGACCATCTGTTTCGAAACATTTCGAGAACGGATGACTTTTGTTGGCTTTTCTTCACCTTGGAACACCCAAACAGCCGACTGTCGTTTATTTTCTGGTTCATAACAGTAAATCCACGATTCATCACCACTAAAAATGCTGTACACATTTTTTGAGTTTCCGGAATTGAAAAGGTCAAGCGTTTTTTGACACCAATTAACCCTGGCTGCTTTCTGCTCTTCAGTCAACTAATTTTCTTACTCCTAATTATTCATGTAAAATTTTTTGAATTGAGGTCTTTGAGATCTCTCGTGATATGTCACATGTCTATCTTCAAAGATGAGTTGGGCACAGCAACGATGTTTTCCTAGGTGACTGCCGTTTTTTGTGCACCCACCCTGGGATCGTCGCTAAGACTCACCCGTCCACGTTTGAATTTTCCATATCAACGGGAAATTGTCGACTGATGTGGCGCTTCGTTGCCGAAAACAGACAGTAACTCAGTAAGGCATTCTTCTTGCGATAATTGTCTCTGAAAGTTGTAATAAATTATGGCGCGAAAATGTTCTCGGTTGACTTCCATTTTTCTAATGACTTGGTGACACTTAAAAATTCACTGTAGTGAGAACACAGTTGTGAAACTTTGAATTTAAGTTTACTAAAAAATGAGGTTAAGATTCAGTACTGACGTTCGATCCGCGCGGCCTGCTATGTTCCTATATGCAAAACTTAAAAGACATCCCTCGTATATACAATAATACGTAAATTATATATTAAAAACATAAAACTGTAATTTAAGCACAATCGTATTTTTTTTTTCTGTAAACGTAACTGTCATACTGGTTCCGCCATTTAGATTTTTTAAGAATCCACACTTAATTCGTTATCCGCAATCTTACAAACAGTCGAAACCAAATTTTGAACGGGCGCAAAATATTTTTTGCAATCATAACCGCCACAGAACCACTATTTCGATTTTTGAACAATTGATATCAAGTTCGTTATTAGCGACCCTGCAAACATAAAACTTCAATTTGAGCTCAATAAAAACATTTTTTGATGTACACCATATTAAATCCATTTTGGTCTTTGACAAATTGATATCTTATTCGTTACCAGCGGCTTTGAAACCGTAGAAATGGATTTTTTGTGAAATTTAAGTGAATCTTTCTAATTTTCAACATATTTTCGAACTTTTGAACCACTGGTGGCGTCGATCGGGGGGTTTAATTACAGATGTAATTCGTGCCAAAGCATAGTTTCGCATATTATAAACGAGTTGCAAAACACGAAGAAGTACAAAAACAAAGCAAAACCTTATAATTGATAAGATTTTTGGAATTAAATCAGTCTTGATGCACTTTTAAATAAGATAAAAAAAATATTTTTAGGTTAGAAATTTTGAGATCCGTGCGTGGAAATGCACCCAACACTAATATCCCAATGACTCTAATTCGGAAACAATTTTAAGATCAGTGTCTCTACTTGTCATTATTAGTGTAAGGTCGGTATTAAAATATAACCCACTAATATATTGCGACTGGCTAGCTTGAGCGCTAAGGATGAATGCGATATGTATGCAAGGGACGTCGCGGCAGTTCCGTGACTCAGGCCCGTTTCGTCAGTCGGCCCTACAATTGTAGGGCGAGTGTATGGCCTCCTTCATTGTCATACTCCTTTCTCTCCTTCAAAAATTTCTAGATTACCCTTGTCCTGTGTCAGCGTCAGCGCTCTCCTATTGTGAAGATATGTTTTCTTTTTAAATTGTAGGAAATTTCAAGCTAATAAAACATGATATAACTCAAAATCAAGCAGAATTTGATGCAAATAGATGTTTGTAACATAACCCCAAAATAGAGCGCTGACACGGAGAAGAAGAAAACTATGACAATCAAGGAGGCCATAAAGGCGCCCTACAATTGTAGGGACGACTGACGATACGGGCCTAAGAAGCCGAACTTATATATGATGCCACGAACACAAAAAATGTCATAGCTTCCTTAAATTTCAAACTATCGGAATAACTCTTTCTCATTTGTGAAATATACAACTTATACTATTATACGCTGAAAACCAAATACCACTGACGTCGGAATGTGTACTAGAGAGAAGCGCAAAAAGCGTGCAATACGTGTGCTAGAAGGAGATAGAAGCACCTCGTTGCCTAGCCGACTTCTCTCTCGTACACATTACGACGTCAGCCAAATTTGAACCTCATCGTATGCAGGAGACACTATCTGTATTTTCGATTAAGGGAAACTTTCTAATTGATGAACCTATTAACTTAGGGCCCTATCGTCAGTCATTCCTGTAATAAATTGTAGAACGCCTTTATGGCCTCCTTGATCTTTATAGTCTTTCCGCTCGTTCAGAAAGGCTGGGGTATTTCTAGATTTGTACTGTTCCATGTCAGTGTCATCGCACTTCTAGTTATGTTTTCTTTTTCAATTGTAGGAAATTTCAGGCTATATAACAGATGATTTAAATCAAAAGTATGAACAATTTGATGCAAATAGATATTTGTAACATAACCTCAAAATAGAGCGCTGGCACGGAACAGTAGAAAACTATGAAAATCAAGGAGGCCATAAAGGCGTCCTACAATTGTTGGAGCGACTGACGATACGGCCCTTAGACTTCTCTGTGCGGCAGGGAGATTATGTAAAAAACGTAAAAAAGCGACGAAATGTTATCTTGCAGTGTGCAAAAGGTTCATTCCACGTTTGGTCGCTATGATCGCTATGACGTTTAAGCAACACGAACAGCTACAAAACGAGTTCACAACAAGTTACAACAGCTTATAGTATGTTAACATCTTGTAGAATAACTACAGTATGTCACAAAAAACCTACGAAATGTCACTTTTCAAGATACGTAATACTCATGTATATATTATGTAAAAAAACGTAAAAAACCGACGTAATGTCATCTTGCAGACTAGGTAGTTTTTAGTGTGCAAAAAGTTCATTCCAAGTTTGCCGCTACGATCGCTGTTCAATGACGTTTAAGCCCGGTGTATATTTTAACAGAACTTGTGGTTGACTCTATTTGCAAAAGTTTCATTTAGAAAACTTGATTGAATCAATTCCAAAAAAATAATGTTTTCTTTGCTTGATTTCGAGCATTCAGAAACGTAATTTATTAATTTAAACTGCAGGATGGTTTTTTCTGCCTGCAGCAATTTCCTCATCGGAAATTTTCTGAAGAGCTTTTTTACTCCAAGGTTTTATGTAGACAAATGATACCTAATTAGTATCAGAGTATTAAATTCAAAGAGATGCTAAATATTCCGCTTCTATTAAAAATGGGCGCAAAGCTCGTACATTAAGAACGAACATTTTTGGTACAATGATCAGAAGAAAAATACCGATTGCAACAAGAATATCCAGCACACTTTTTATAACAATGTATCACTTCAACCTCGTAAAATAAGTGAAAACATCATTAACAGGAAGTAATAAATAATCATTTATTTATAAAACGAAAGTATGAATTTACTTTCCTTCCTTCGGTTCCTTGTTCATTCATGATCCTTTCAAAAATATGCAGCCAAAACGTTCAAAAGCTTCCGAGCTTTGACAGTGTCTATGTTAATTTTTGGTTGGTTTGCTCAAAAAGTTGAAAAGACTACAAGTCCGAGAAGCAAGTCTTAGAAGTGCAGACCAAGCAGTTTAGGTCACTTTAGTTCAGATCATCCTCTCTTTGACAGAAAACTTAAAAAAATTGTTATTGAACGTGAATAAAGTATGTCAACTTCTGAATATGCAACTGCTTTACATTTGTTCGTTTAGAGCTAAAAATAAATCGTATGTTTTAAGTTTAGGGCATCCGTACACTTCCTTGGCTAAACGGGAATAACAGAGTAACTAGAGAAAATATACATGCAACATACCTTACACTACAAAAATCATTATTCCTGTATCATCACAAAATTCTATTGCACTGTATCCGTTTTTCGACTGGAATCACATGTTACTTCTATATACAAGTACTTAAATGAACTAAATACTTTATACGCGGTCGAAAGCACAAATTACAAGAGCTGTATTTACACGTTTTGAGTATAGACATTTGAGCATTTTTTATAAGCAATGTATTTGCCCGGTCACAGAATCACGCCTTTCCGTTTTTGAGGTTGTTAAAGCTATTAACTATACATTTGTCCCGGCATATATTTTACCGAAACTAGGAATTGACCCTAGACTTTACAAGCAACATGAAAAGGCTTTCGAGGCTACCCTACCCTTGACCGGCGTTGCCAAGCCTAGTTACTTGGAAATCGCCCGGTCCGGCTCGAAGGACCAAACAGATGGCGTGCGACGTTGCCACTTTTACCTCGGTAAATCGTAAATAGGGTTGCCTGTCCCCCTTTTGCGTGCATGCCGGATCGCTAGGTTAAACTAATCTTGCCGTTTTCGAAAGAATATTAGAAAAAAATCAAATGTCATCATTGATTAAGCTATGCTACCTGAAGATAGCAAACCTACTACTGTATAGCGTCATCTATGAGATTTTGTCACAGCTATGCTTCTCTCTCCGCTCTGATTAGAATCTACTTTGAGGGTTAGTGTCTTATAGATCGCTGAGGCCAAATACAGAGTGCCCCAAATATCATGGAGCAAACGAGATCGAGTGATGGGGGGGCATTTGCAATCAGAAAATTTGAGGAAAATCGTTACTTTTGAGACTCTACTATTTTTTGAAGATCTTGCATTATTTTTCAATCATATTTGCAGGATATGTTTCCAAATCGTGTGGCACTGGAAAAATGGTACTAGTGACAATTTAGTCCAGTTAATGTAGGTACAGCAATCGGTTAATATGCAATTTTGTCCTTTGTCACCGAGGCCTGCACAAAAAATTAGTAAGCGGATAGATCACCAATCACCAGTCTTATGTAATTCAAATAGAAGACAGGAAATTCTTGAAAGTAATTATTAGATCCGATGAATGTGATATTTAAGTTTTATTCCCTCTATATCCTAGTAGTCATTTTTTTCTGCAGCATTTTGTCTTATTCATAGTATCGAAAAGTTTTTCATCACTATTCCCACAATTTCTTGAAAATGGCGATAACTCAAACACCGTGCACAATCGGATAAGGACATATATGGTTTTTCTGATTGAAAATGGTCCCCCATATCACCCCCTTTCGTTTGCTCCATGACCTTTGGGAGACTCTGTATACCACTAATATAGTTTGTTACACGGCCACCAATGAGACACTAACCTTTCCAAAGGAGGTTCCCAATTAGTGCGGAGACGAGAAACATAGCTGTGACAAATTCGCATAGATGACGCAATGGTATATTATTTCATCTCGGATATTTTATACGCGGGAATATAGTATTCGTTTATTCAATCGTGTCACAGTGGAAATAGATAAAATCACCCCTGGAAAAACATCTAGAGAAACATGCAATCTTTTTACTAATCCATGGCTTGAATTTTGGAAGAATAGGAAGAATAGCTACAAGTGCATATTTTTTATCTGTGCCTTTATTACTTTAGGAGAGGTTCAGGCAACACTGTACCATTTATGTATCGGGTCATTCTGCTCGTTCGGAATTCTTCGTAAAAGCTCGTTCAGTTAAGCGGTGTTGCCAAATAGGACAGATTTTAAGAAGAAGTCTTTAACAATTTTTTAATATGGTCCTTCGATCGGGTGAATTTGCAAAATCTGAATTTTTTTGTCAACGAACCTGAAAATATATGAAAATGTAGATGACTCTATCCAATTATAAACAGGTATTTTATCGACACCTCGACAATCTCTAATGAACGTAGATGGCGCATCACACGCGTACGGTTGTAATTTTTGAGCAACAGATAAAATTCTTTAGAATGTCTCAAAATGATCACGTTTTTACGAATTGATCAGAAACAATGTTGAAGCTACCTTTGTACATTGACTCCTCGTATTTTGTTTACTCTTAAAAATGGACTAGACATCGAGACGTATGTATACAAAACAAAGCATTAGGATATTCAGAAGCTACCTTTTTTATCTTCACTCCTCGTATTTTGTTAACTCTTAAAAATGGACTAGAAATCGAGAAGTATGTATACAAAACAAAGCTTATTAGGCTATTCAGATGCCCTTTCTCTTTTTGCGATAATCCATGTTATCCAAAATACTTACTTCTTATTCATTAGTTCCTTTATTATCAAGCTTATTCGATTAAATTCCATTAAAATTCTTAGGGTTCATCATACTTCTTTTACCGATGGCGTTCACAATAACAGTGAATCTCTCTATAAGTACTCTTGTATTATGTGCACCCTAACTTAAATTCTAGGCTTACTGACAAGATGCTTAATTTGAACTTTTAGAATTCTCAAAACCTATCGACGCAGTTTGTATATGAATATTTTTCAAGTGTCATGGAGTGCAGGATAACTCTGGCTTTGAAGCGGTTTTTTTATGAGCAGCTTTCTAACAAGTGTAAATCCCACAGACAATGTCGCCACAGTATGATGACACTCTTCTACGTATTGTTGTGTCAGGATCTAGTATGTACATTGAATCTGAAATATATCAAAAACAATTTTCCGTATAAGAATTTTGTGAAGTCATTTGCTTTTAATTTATTTATTTTAAAAATATCAATTGTTTAGATTGAGACTCTGTTCCTATTCTACAAAAACATATACCACTGTCTCGGTACTTGGGCCAAATTAAAACATTGATTTTCAAGTTGCCCATAAATATCGGAAATGTCATAAAAGCATCTCTCTTGACTTTGCCAAAACTAATATGGACCCACCTACAAAAATTAAAGCACGAGTAATTAGAGCTTTGTTCCAACACACCATCGAACTAGTTCTGAACTGCATACGCAGATCGAAATTACCGTTCCAACAGAAAATGGAACTGGTTGCGTAACTGGCAGTTCTCTGTCCCAACAAATTCCAAACTGGTTCAGACCCGGTTCTGATCTGGTTCTGAGAGAGAACTAAAAGTTCAAATTTGATAGCGCATGCGCGTTTACAGAATTAATGACAACGATAGCTGGGAAACTGGATTTTGTGATTGCCGTTTTGTGCCTTTCCTAGCTGTTCAATCTACTCATATATCAGGCCTGAATCTTAAATTTTTATTGTTTCGTTTATTACACAGTGCTTTCCAAGATCTTTGCTGCCAACTCCACAACGGACGTCCCCCCAACGCCCGAGTGCGGGAAGTCACATTCAAGCATAATACGGCACTTTCCCAGAAAACAGAAAATTTGCTCAGGTCCAACCCATCCCACAAAAGGGATGTGAAACCGACACTTATAAATATAGCCCTATAGCTCTGCTTTCTGTTATAAGTAAGGTGATGGAGAGGTGCATAAATCGCGAGCTTCTGGACTACCTCGAGCGTCACGGGTTGATTAGTGACAGGCAATATGGTTACCGACACCAGCGATCCTCAGAAGACCCCCCAGCTTACGCCACTCAATTGTGTTATGGTGAGACTCATGTGGTTACCCTTGATATCACGAAAGCATTTGATCAGATGTGGCGCGCTGCCCTCTTATGCAAAGTTCCATCCTATGGTCTCCCAGAAAAGCTTTGCAGATGGGTGGCTGACTTTCTTTCTGGCCGCAAGGTATCCGTCGTAATTGTCGGGTACACCTGACACCGTTCCTCTTATATATCAACGACCCCATTTACTGCACGATCAATCCAATCCATAGCTTTGCTGATGACAGCACTCTATATACAGGAATTCAGAGCGACAAGCCGGTCTCTGTCGGTGAGCTGAAACAAAGAAGACTAGCAGCGACCTTCTCTCTGACAAGAAACCTGGACAACAATCTTGTACAGTTTAATGCTTCCAAAACACAGTACTGTACTTTGACGAACAAAAAGGGCACTATACCAAACAGATCTCTTGTTAAGTCTGCGATCTCGTTTTCCTCTTTTTTTTAAAATCAGTACGTAAACAATAAATTCCTCGTCTTTCACACGGAAACTTGATATTTTTAAATTTTACTTCGGGTTATGCTTAAGACTATGAGCCTTGTAGCTCTCTGTTCTAACAGAATAGTTCTATACTGTACTCACCTCTCGGGCATGCGCAGAAGAATAATTCGGAATTAGTTTTGAACTGAACTAGTTCAGAACAGCTTCTTAGAACAAACATTTAGATCACAAGTTGAAAATATGTTTATATGCAGTTATAGACATTTTTTTTATTATGTGTTACAAATAACACTGGACAACTGGAAAAGTGCACTTCTTTGTTAATTTTGGGGCGCTGAATCCAAAAATGATAATGAAATAAAAAAAATAGTTGCGGTTTAGAAAAAAAACTTTTTATTTTTAAGAATATGTTAAACAAAGTAACAAGATTAATATACTTATAAGAATCACTATATGCGCTGTCTTTTTGCTGCTCTTTTATGGATCGTTTCTGGAGCATCTCTACCAAGAGTCCAACAGTAGTCTGCAAGCATGGAAGGATTCCACTTTCCCTGGTACCTTTTTTCCATTGTTGAAATATCCTGATGAAAACGTTCGCCGTGCTCATCACTTACGGCTCCGCAATTGTCAGGAAAAAAGTCCAGGTGTGAGTATAGGAAATGTATCTTAAGAGACATATTACAGCCCATCTTTTGATACGATGACAGCATATTTTTGGCAAGGGTTTTATAGTTGTCAGCTTTTCTATTTCCCAAGAAATTAGTGACCACCAGACGGAAATCATTCCAAGCAGTTTTTTCAATACCTGTTAAAGTGTTTTCAAACTGTGTATCTTTCAAAATATTTCGATTCTGTGGCCCAACAAAAATACCTTCTTTAACCTTTGCCTCACTTAGTCTTGGAAATTTCTGACGCAGGTATTGAAAAGCTGACCCATCTCTATCTAATGCCTTGATAACGTTTTTCATTAGGCCTAACTTGATATGCAGTGGTGGTAATAAATTTTTTTTCGAATCTACTAATGGCATATGCTATACATTTTTTTGACCTGGCTCTAGGAATTGACGAACAGGCCAGTTTTGTCTGGTGTAATGAAGTAAGTGCCTTTGCCCGACTGTCCCATTCACACATAAAACAGCAAAACTTTGTGTAGCCTAGCTGCAGCCCAAGTAAAAGTGCAACAACTTTCAAATCGCCACAAATATGACATTGGTGCTCATCGTATTTACTTCATATTGTCATATGATTCTTTCATGTGAACTGCATACCCTACAGGAAGAGATGGTAAAATATTTCCAATATGCAATAACACTGCCTTTAAACTCAATGTTGAACTGTCTATAAACAATCTCCATTCTTCTGGGTTATAGTTTATATTTAAAGCCGCCATAAGCCGTTAATGTTACTGCAGAAAACCAGGTTATTCTCCATATTGAAAAACGGTTCTAAGTCTTTGTGGTGTTTACGAAAAACACATACCGAAACATCGACTTCTAACAAGTTCCACTGCTGCAATCTTGATCCAAGTAACTCTGCCTTACATTTTGGAAGTTCTAAATCTCTTACAAGATCATTTGATTCTGACTGTGTTATTTGGTGCGGTTGGTGGCATGACGTGCTCGGTATAAAATCAGGATCTCTTGACGTTGATGGCATATCTTCTTCCTGACGAATCACTCGATCGCCATGATCTGATTCGTTTTCTGATTCGCAAGTGTAGGATTCTGGGGGTTTTGGAATAGGATTTTCGTCACTGTGAGGCACAGGTCTCATTGCAGATGGTATGTTTGGGTAGTTAATAACTGATTTTTTTTGGACATACCTGTGGCTTGTCCAACACAAGGTACCATGCAAAAGTAACAATCATTAATATGATTTGTAGGCTCTCTCCAAACCATTGGGACAGCAAAGCGCATAGACCGTTTTTTGCCATTTAAGCTCCTTAGACTTGAAGCACATGTATTACAGCAGATGTGGGGTGCCCACTGTTTGTCTTGATCACCTAGTTTACAACCGAAATAAAGCTGATATGCCTTTGTTATTAGTGGAGTAATAGACCGTATCTGAGACGCAAAAGTCACATCACCACACACGTAACAAAACTGATCTGGATTGTTTACACACTTTCGAGACATCTTGCATGAACGCTGTCAGCCAACTGAGGAAAAAATGGCTAATATAAAACAATATAATGTACACGTATGTATAACGTAACACAATTATGCCGATTACATCATCTTTCCTTGCCGAATATAAAAATGTAGCAAGTGCGTTCTTGTGAATTACAGTATATTAACACTGTCACAGCAGGAACACATATAATTACCGTATCTCTAAAACTTGAACTAATATTGAAAAAATAAGTTTGATTCCGGTTTTAGCACATTAAAAATAGTAATGTTTCGTTGATTTTATTTAGGATATTTTTTGGCTGTTGATCAGTGTAATCAGGAACTCAAACATCCATCAGCAATACAAATTTGGGATTCTCGGGAAATTATGGCCATGTCAGTGATGCGCCCAAAAATAATCGCTAACTCGAATGTCATTCGAACTGAAGTTTTCAGAATTCCACTTTTTCTCTTATTGCAACTACCACCTACCACCGCTAGTCGCACATTTTCGAGAAAATATGACAAGTCAGCTGAAAGTTAGGGAGTGATAAGACTCAGATATTGTAAAAGATTTTTTTGTTGGTAATGTTGGCAATGCTGCTGTATAGATCGTCAACCCTAGAGATTCAAAAACAAGTTTCCGTATACAAGTGAACGCGCAACTTGCTTTGCCAGAT